GCCATTAAATGGGACAATTTTAATTTTTATGTCTCCATTTAACTCCAACCATTCAAAAGCCTGCTAGTGCCAAACACCCTCACACAATCAAAATTTGCAATTCCCTATCTACAGGATGATTGCAATGATTTATTGCTTAATTGGAAACATTTTGCCTACAATTCTGTATGCTCTGCATTGTTCTCTTATTTTATTTTTTTAAGATTTTTAAATTAAGTTATGCTTTTAAATATTATGTCATTGATATTATGCCAATTTACTCAATATTGGGATAGGAAGTGTATTTGCTTCAAACTTGCCAAAGTCATTTCATCTTGTTGAAACTTGAAAATATATGGTCTGGATAGATTGTCAAGGATTGAAATTGGTGTTTTCTAATGAAAAAACAAAACAACCAAGTGCATCACAGAAACATACTGGTTCAGACATTGTTCCACTTGCTAAATAAGAGTTAAAGCTATTTACCTGCACTTAAGTAAAGGAAGAAGGGAAGACTTGAGTTCAAACTATAATTTCTAAAGTGTTAAAAAAAAAACCTACCAATAAGTGCTTGCCAGATGTGGAACTTTCCATCGTAGTGTGTGACTGAGACTGTGACAGAAACACTATTTTATATTTGGCATGAACATAGTCCAAAGAGGTGTGTGGTATGGCAGCGTACCCACTTACTTTCTGCAATTTATTTTTCACTCCTCCACTGAATGTTTTTGGAATACCTACTGTGAGCCTAGCATTGAAACAGACACTCTGAGAGAGGCGCAAAGGAAAAAAGAAAGAGGTTACAGTCCTTGCCTTTATAATGCTGGCATCTTCTCTTCCAGCGTTATAAATGTTGGCTTGCCTGAGGCCTCAGCCCGGTGCCTCTTCTCTTCTGAATCTATACTCACTACCCTCATAGTCCCACGGCCATAACTACTACCAATAAATAACCTGATGACTCATATTCACCTGCCTATCAACATCTTCACTTTGTGTCTAGTAGGCATCTCAAACTTAAGTCATCCAAAAATTTACTCTTGCATTCCCACCAAATTGCCTCCATTCAATTCTTTCTCAGCTCAATACATGCCAGTAGCATTCAGGTAAAAAACCTAAGACTTGTTCTTTTCCTCTTGCATCAACTCTCACCAATAGCCTCTTTTCTTCTACTTCCAATCTTTTCTCACCACAACGCATCTTCACAAAGGTAAAAAAAAAAAGATTTTTTAAATACATAAATCAGATCATGTTACTATTCTATCCAAATCTCCCAATGGTTTCCCAATATACTCAATAAAATCTAAAGCCCTTAATTGTGTCCTATAAGGACCTTTATGATCTTTCCAGATCCTCCTTTGTGGTTCTAGGTAAATTCATAAAATGACCAACTCACTACATGGCCAAATGGCTTTTGGTAAATCTCCCACTTTTGACTGTAGCCATATTCTCCATATGAATAACTAGCTTATGAAAAATGCTGATAATGACCAGACATTATTTAGTGAAATTCACAGTTCATGTAGGTACAATTTATACATAAGTACTATGGAATAGAGAGCAGGGAGCTGTTTAGCATGGCATAGGCTGGATCAGGGAAGGCTTCTTAGGAGAGACGAATTTGGGGTTTGTCCTTAATGGATTATTGGGTCAGATATTAATATAAAGGGAAGAGATTAGATGGAGCAACAAGGAAGGGCACATGTGTAGGAGTGAAGAGATTACAGGTCTCACTGCCTTCCAGTTCTGCCATAATGAATGATTTGAGGAGATGTGCAAGGAAGACCGGAGGATTAGCCCTAAGAAGGTTAGGACCTTTTAGAAAATATGAAATGATTGTACACTCCTGCTCAGGATTGAAAATGTGTTTTCAGAGAAGCATTCGTTAATACTATAACATGAGCCAACCACTGTATTAGCCATCAGGCATGTGGCGATTTAAAAAAAAAACAGATTGCTCTTGTGAAGCTTCCTGTGGAATGAAAATGATAGATATAAAATGAGTAAACTCACAAATATATAATTCAAATGGTGATAAATATCAGCAGGAAAAAGAAGAAGACACTATGAAAGAGTCAGGTTGAAACTACTTCAGACTGGATGGTCAGGAAAGTCCTTTGAAGAAGTGATATTTAAACTGAAACCTGAAAGTCAAGAAAAAGCATTTCTTACAAAGAGGGCAGCATACAGAAAGATCCTAATAAGGGAAGGAAGACTTCCTTTTAATTATAAGGAAATAAATACTCTATACATCTTTATTGCTATCCTTTTTTAAATGGGTGAGTTGGGCTATTTTCTAACAAAATACAATGATCATGATTAACTCAGGAGGTAGAAACTATGTAGTATTTGGCATATATTTATACTAAAAATTATTGTTTATCTGAAATTCAAATTTAATTAGGTACCCCATATTTTATATGGCAACCCCATATTTTAACAATATTAAATATGGTGATCCATGTAGATCAGAGACACAGGACTATAAAAATGGTCATGGAATGCTAGTGTATAACTTTTAATCCATCTACTTTTATATAGCAGAGAGTAATGGACACACTGAGGAATAAATCTCAGTAAATACCAATCTTTGCGATGAGTTTGTCCAGACGTGCCTTGGCCATCTAATCACTTACCTTTCCTCCTTTTTTATTATCTTTTGAGCTTCAGCTTCCTTATCTGTCTTCTTCACTGTTTATAACCTCTATCTGATTTGTCTTCTACCCAGTTCATAGCATTTTCCAACACCCTGCCCTGAGCCATCTCAATTTCTCCTTCTCAACACCTTCATCTATGATACCCAAAAGAAGCACAACAAAATGTTAACAGTCCTCTTTACATTGAAGGCATAAAGGAAATGCTAAAAAAATGTTAAGTTGAACCAAATTACTCCTATTTTCCTCTCTCACATAGTTACTTAATGACTTTATCAGTGAATCCCAGGTTGGTGCTGTTCTCCAACTTCCTCACTTTCCCAAACGTGGCTGCTTTTCTCTGACTTTCCCCGTGAGTCTGGTCTTGGTTATGGGCAGAGAGTTTCTAAGTCACCTGAGGAAGTATATGGAGATTTAGGGCTGAAGACAAGAGAATGATTGCAGTCAATAGTTTAGTAGCCCATTTCAGATAGAACAAAATATACAAGCATCTTTCCAGAAGCAGGAAGGGCAGCCTGAATGGGTCCTCGTTCAAATCATAAGGGTCTTATTTGTTATATTTTGGGACCCAATAGCTACTTACCTGATTCATGAGATGGGAGTCAGAGGAGCCATAATTCAATTTGGAAAAGGAAGTAGAGGGAGGGAGAAACACAGTTCTGAGAATTTGGTTGAAGTATCAGAATTACTAGAATACCACACAGTTCACTCTTAGAATCTACAAGATTTGGGTATCTGTCCTTTATAGTCCTCCAAATAACTCCAAATAGTAAAAGTAATATAGAAAGTTTTGTGTTGCTCAAAAGGGAGTAACAAGAACCAGGTTTATCCACTCCCTTGAAACAACAACAACAACAACAGACAAAATTCGTAAAACAACCTTTGCCAAAACACTGGCTTTTAAGCAAGGTTGGACGCTCATTCCTGAGAGATGGGAAACACACAAGGCGAGCCCTTCAATCTCCCCCTTAGTAGATGCATCTAACTATTGAGAACTTTATACCAAAACTTTCTTTCAACAGTATTGTTTTCCTTCAAAACAATAAACATAGACAATAAACACATCCATCTTTCCCCTTTTTTAACACTCTACTGTAGGGAAGATACTTTTTGACACCTGTCAACAAGATGAAACCTGAATGGCTGTGCATTCTGATTCTGCTCCTCTACTATCTTGTTAGCCATTCTTTACTAAAATAGCCTCTATTCTTTTCACGTTGAATAAGGAAGCAGAGAGGACTGATTATACAGATGATGAATATTCCATAATTGTATGTAAATACTGTACTTAAAGACTTATCTCTTAGAAGAGGAATTAAACTTGTTTGGTGTGACCCCAAGAGTTCAAAGTAGGACTGGCGGATAGTAGCTACAAAAAAATTCACAGTAAGGGAAACATTGGAATTATATCAGTGAAATATGTTGACTTAGTCAATAATTAATTCCCCATAACCATAGGTATTTAAGAATACATTACATGTTTATTAGGGAAAATTCAAGCTACTGTTTTCAACTGAAGGTATTATGAGTAATCTATATAAGAAGTTCAGCAGCCCTGGCTGGTGTAGCTCAGTGGATTGAGCAAGGGCCTGAGAACCAAAGGATGGTGGTTCTATTCCCAGTCAGGGCACAAGCCTGGGTTAAAGGCCAGTTCCCAGCAGGGGCCAGTTCCCAGGAGGAGACACATGAGAGGCAACCATGCATTGATATTTCTCTCCCTCTGTCCTTCCCTTCCCTCCTAAATATAAATAAATAAAATCTAAGAAAAAATAATAAAATTATTAAAAGAATAAAAGTTCACAATATCACTAAAATTTGCAACAAAATGGGTCATAAAATTAAAAATAATTTTGGAAGATTTGAAAAACTTAATTGAACTATATATATATCTATAGAGTATCATCTGTCAAAGTGAGGATACATAGGCTTTTGGTTTCCACCAGGGTGGGACCCAAGCTCTTTGTCAATGTTGTTAGGATATACAAGGTCAAGGGCCACAATACTTGATGATGCTTTGTCTAGAAACTTGATCAGAATTTTTATCACCTTAAAAACATTTTTTACCTACTGAATATACAAAAATAAGTACTTTGGGTATTTAAAATGCGAATTCTGGGTCTTACCACCACCTCTTCCCCTCATCCAGCATTTCTCATTCAAAATTTCTTTGTGGAGCCGAGGCATTTAATTTTTAACAAATACTCTAAGTGATTCTTATTGTAGATTGTCTCTAAACTACACTCTGAGAAACACAAAGAAAAGATGAACTCCTTTCTACCAATGAGAACGTTAAGAACTTTATGTTCAGGTGAATTACATCTTTTAAAAAAACAACAAACACTGATACTTTTGATTTTTCTTCTCTCTCAGAGCCAAAAGCCAAAATGAAAGTTATAGTACTTGTCACCGTCGGGCTAACCCTGCTGCTAGGAGTCCAAACCATGCCTGCAAATCGTCTCTCTTGCTACAGAAAGATACTAAAAGATCGCAACTGCCACAGCCTTCCAGAAGGAGTTGCTGACCTCACAAAGATGGATGTAAACGCCCAGGGTCATTTCTGGGATGGAAAGGGATGTGAGATGATCTGTTACTGCAACTTCAGCGAATTGCTCTGCTGCCCAAAGTAAGGGGATATAATCGTAAAATATATCGCTATGAAACACGTATAAAGATTCCTTTTTGACACCTTTATAATGATTTGCTAAAAATAATCACCCCTTTTAGTAAAATCCTATTCAAATCTCAGCTATTGTCTAGAATCATTTTCATTGTGTATGGAATGGAATGTTTTTCATTTAGAAACAGAATTTGGCAGATTTTAATAAAACAAAATGAAGTCCAGAAAATCAATAACACTCCAATCTATTAAAATCTAAATTCCCTATCAGATTTTACCACAAAAAAGTCTACCAGTAGTAGTGGTCAACTTCCAGGTTGATATTCTAAACCAATTTGAAAACTAATAAAAGGCTTTAGATAAAAGATTTGGGTGAACAGGATCAAGTAATTAACTGGACAAGAAAGGTTGGTAATGGTCAAAGAAAAAATTTCTAGCTCTATGTATGAGTTAACTAGGAATAAACTAAATAAAAGTTTTCCACTGATTTAGAAAGTTGATATATTTTAATATAATAGAAAAGTCAATAAATATTTCTAGCTCTTGATTTTAAAATCGTCTTTACTCGGTGACTGAGGAACCTTTCAAATACTATGATCTTGGCAACTTCATACCTAAATTAACTTTTTCAAATTACCTTTAATATGTCATCATATTTTCATTTTTCTAAGAAACCTGTAAGGTAGAAAGGGCAGGTAGAACCATCTTGTCAAGGACAAAGTACAGAGAGGTAAAGTGACGGGCACATCCCCCATAACTAGTTAATATCAGCACTAACACCAGAACCTAGGACTTCTGATTTGGCCCAGATTTTTATTTTCTATCAGACCCGTTGGTTCTTAACGTGTGGTTCCCAGAACGGCCGCCTCACTATCACCTGAGTTCTTGTTAAAAATGCATATCCATCCTTGGACCCCAGGTGATACCTACTAAATCAGGAACACTGGACATGAGACACAGCAGTTATGACTTAATAAGGTTTCTAGGTGAATCTGATGCATGATAAAGTTTCCGAATCGCTGTACTAAATGATGATATCTGGAGCCTGCATTAATTGACTCCACAAAATGACAATTTTCCCCAGGTCACATAAGTGAAATATCACCTACTATTAAAATACCATGTTTGCCTTTTTGTAAGACTTGAGTCTATTTTACAGAAATGTACTTTTGTTTATTTCGTGATACAATTTTGTGATTATCTGGGTTAATGGATGAGAATGATACAAAAGTAATTTCTGATATCAGATTACCTTTTTCTAAGTAGCAACAAATTTACCTTGCTAAGTATATTTCCTTTTTTCCCCTATAATCACAAATTTGCATTTGTCTCTATTTTTATTTTATTGAGATATAACTGACCTATAGCACTGTATAAGTTTAAAGTATGTGACATACTGACTTGACTGATATATATTGAAAAATGATTACCATAATAAGTTTACTGATAGTTAATACCCATCGACTCATACAGTTACCAAAAATATTTTTTTCCTTGTAATGAGAACTTTTAGAATTTACTCTTATCAAATTCTCAGTATACTATTCGCCAGTGCTAACAATAGTTATCATGTTGTATATTAGATACTAAGAATATTTCTAGTGATCCATAATTATACTACCTTAAACTTTTTTACCATTTTATATTATTTCGTGCATTTTTTCATTACCTTATATGACCTTTCCAATAAGAGTACGGTAGCTTAAAATGCCTCCTTTCCCTGTAAAAGCTGGAATTTATTGACTTTGTAAGAAGTTTTTAATCTTCTGTGTCATCCCTGTAAACTTCCTGGTCCATCTCACTCACATCAGAGAAATTATTTTTTGATCCGATTATAAGGTTTTGAAACCACCTAATCTTTCCTTTTCTTTATAAAATGATAGCATAATATCAATGGCAAATGGAAGGAAAGTAAAAGAATCGATTACCTTCTTGGTCTTTGCTGATCCTGTAGCGAGTTCTCCCACTCATTCTCTTTGTAATTTACTCACCTACAAAAATAGTTGTATCTGAAATCCTGGAAATCACTGTCCGTTTTTAATCCAGAAAATAATAATACATACCTTAGCTTTTAGATAGATTTAACTGACGTTCTATTTTCTTTCAGAGATGTCTTCTTTGGACCAAAGATCTCTTTTGTGATTCCTTGCAACCGTCACTGAGAATCTTCATGCATTCTGGAGAGCACCATCGCCAATTTCCTAGAAACTGCGCTATATCAGTGTAACTGCATTTCTAGTTTCTATCCAGTGCAATAAAGCAGATTCTATAAATTCTTGCTTGTCTAAGACATGTAAACTTTTGTTAAATAAGAAGTAATAAAAATTAATTCGATTTCATTTTTCTCTGTGGACATTGTTGGCACTTGTTAAAAATATTGGCTAGAAAATTTTCATCTATGAGGTGTTAACTACATCAATAGAAGAATTCTGTTCCCCAAATGAATTGCCATAATCCTGGCTCAAAGACTGAGATATTTCAGTTCTTAGTTGACAGTTATTGACTATCTAATAGTTAATGGAAAGAATCATATATAAATTGAGATTCTTAGAAGGGAAACTAGAAGTTTCCTAGTAAGAGGGGAAAAGAAAGCCAATATTTGAGTATATTTTATGCATGGCACCTATTTTAAGTACATTTTCATTTTACTCTTTTAAAACTAGCAACAACAAAAACCTTCAACTATTCTTATACCCATTTTTCAGATGCTGATTCATTTAAGACATTTGTTAAAAATCAAGGCAAGAATTTGAACAGTCCTCATTGTAAAGCCCATATACTATACACACTCACACACAACAGTAGCATCCTTAAAGCTCTGATGCATATCCCCAAAGTGTCAATTTTTCTTGAAAATTGCACATATTAAGAAACACATGCAATAAGTGAGAATTAAAAAGCCAAATGAAATTTAAAAGTAAATGAAACAGATGCCTTCAAAAACATTTTCTGTTTGTTAGAGACAGCTTTGGACTCTACCTCCTCCGTATCTTAGGAGGCGTACATTGGCTAGTGGCCATCGGAGGTGATTCCCGAAAGTCCTTCATGCAATAAAAATCTACTAAATGCTTGCTAAGTGCCAGCTATTAAGATTTGGATGTATATAATGAGTAATAAGGACTTGCCTCTTAGAAGTTGTATTTTAACGAGCATATAACATTTACAAACAAATTATTATTTATAAATGTGAAGCCTTCTATAGAAGAGAGGTGTAAGGTGCTATATAAAAAACTATTGTGCCCTGGATGGTGTAGCTCAGTGGATTGAGCACAGGCCTGTGAATCAAACAACTGTGGTTCGATTCCCAGTCAGGGCACATGCCTTGGTTGCAGGCCAGTTCCCAGCAGGGGATGCATGAGAGGCAACCATATATTGATATTTCTCTCACTCTCTCCTTCTCTTCCCTTCCCCTCTAAAGATAAATAAAATCTTTTAAAAAAGATCTATTGTGCATAAAAGTTTGAGAAGCACACCTGTAGTAAACTTAGGAGATAACGTTTTGTGAATAAAAGTGACATTATTTAATGGAAATAGATCCCTGGAGGTCCCTGATCTGTTTCTGAAGACCACACACAGATTTGTTCAGTGTTACTGTGCTGGACCAAACAATTTTGGCGTACTGGGAATTCAGTTCCTCTTAAGATCTGCACAAACATAAGTCACAATGTTTTCAGGTAGTGTGACCTCCTACAAAAATGCATGAAGTGGAATTGTTTTTAAAAATAAAATTTGTTGTTTTATCACTATTAGATAATTTGATTTGGCTTTTTTCTTCAAATGACTTCACTGATATTAAAATTGAACTAACTCAATAAAGTGTCTTATATCCTTCCTGGAAGGATACATAGAACAGGTAAATAAAGAAAAATCATCAGTAAACCAGTTTCATTTTCTACTTGGTATAATTCCTCTTTAAGGGAGAAAAATAGGTGGTAAAGATTCAGTATCTCAGCACGAGGGCATACATAAGGCAACAATGGCTTTTGAATAAGTACTCTCTTATTATTGTAATCAAAGCCTAATGAGAAAAGTATATTAGAAAACATCTAAGTATTCAATGAATGGAATTTTATAATTATAATTATCCTTCATAGTGTCTATTTTTGGAAATATCTTTGTAATATAAATTTCAATTGTATTCTTTTAGAAATGTATTATAGAACTACACATTCTTCTTTAGACTACTAAATAAATGTAAAAGCATGTTTACACAACTTACCTTATTCAACTTTTTCTGACAAGGTGAATATGTTTTTAAAAGCAAACATTTCATTCAATCATATTAATGAGTAGACCTTTATTTTTTCAGTAACTTTTATCTACCTACCTTAGGTGTCTTAGAAGACACCTAAGCTTTTATAAAAATTTACTGTTGTTCTAAATACTGTCTGACAACTGAATGAGGTAGATTCTATAATGATCCCTGTTCTATGGCCAAAGTGCCAAGGTTTAGAGAGATTAAATAACTTGTTTAAGGTTACATTATCAGGGCAGTAGAGCCATATTTTAAAACTATGGTCAGTTTTCCTCTAGCATCATCTAATCTATTTTTAGGAAAGCAAACCTTTACTTGTATGGGACACAATTTTACATTGCAGATGGCTCACATATGCTAAATGCTTACTGAATAACAATTTCTTTATTTTTGCTCTGATTTTCTATATCTTTGTTCTTACTGTAAACCCCATGGTGCTGAGCACAAAGTGGACTATAACACTAATAAGCTCATCTCTTCTTGACATTTCTCTTCCTTGTCATAATCCATAGGGATTTCTTGAATATTTTTGTGAGGATTAGATACTAATCCTAAAGAATTATTAGGTAATTGTAAGCAACATGGAGACCAAAACAACCAGCAACAACTATTGGAGGAAGGAAGGGAAGGGCAGAAAAGAATATTCGCAGATCATTTTCAACTTTAAATTCCTTATAATTGCCCAGAGGTACACATAAGTTCTTTCTATAAAAATCATTTTTGCAAAATATTAGAGAACATACTTTTAAAAGATGAAAATCCTATCAGTAAAGCACTACAAGCTTTAAAATAATTTTCTCAAAAGGAAAAAAATCAAATTCAAATATGTATAAATCATCTTGCATTAACAGCCTAAGCCTAAACTGTTCTCCCAAAGATTTGAAGAGAAACTGTTATTGGAAAATGATAGTAAGTTTACACTAAACTAGCTTTTTCAGTTTACTTTTATAGAATGGTATCACCCATATGTGGTCATCTTTGTAGAGTGGTATATCTACAGAGAAATGTGTGGCATATGCACAGTCAACATATTGTAAACATTTTACAAATAAATACAGTAAACTTTCAACAACAAAAAAAGAGCATACATAATCTATATTTGCGGGGTATAACCTTAAAGTGATCTACAGATTCAATACAATCCTCATCAAAATTCTAATGGTTTTGGGGGGCAAAAATGGAAAAACTAACACTCAAATTCGTATGAAACTGTAAGGGGGCCCAAATAACCTAACAATATTGAAAAAAAACAAGTAGGACAACTCACACTTACTGATTTCAAAACTTACCAACAAGACTAACGTAGTCAAGACTGTCGTACTGGCAGAATAGAAATACAGACCAATGAAACAGAAGAGAATATTGAAATAAACCCGAACATCTATGGCAAATAGATTTTGACAAAGATGCCAGAACAGAGTCTCTCAACAAATGGTGCTGGAAGAACTAAATAACCACATGGAAAGGATGATGTTGGACCTCTAACTCATTTCATATACAAAAATTGACTCAAGATGGGTCAATGACCTTAAATGAAGTTTCTAAAAAAAATATGTTAATTTTTATAACCTCAGATTTGGCAATGAGTTCTTAGGTCTGATAATAAAAGTATGAGCAAAAACAAATGGAAATACATTAAAACTAAAAACTCTCCAGCATCAAAGATCATTATCAAGATTGTGAAAAGATAATTTACAGAATGGAAGAAAATATTAGGAAATTGTGTAGTAAACATCCAGAATAAAGAATGCCTACAACTCAACAATAAAAAAGCAAATAACCCAGTTAAAAAAATTAAGAAAGGACTTGAATAGACATTTCTCCAAAGACAACAGACAAGTGGCCAACAAGCAAATAAAAAGATATTCAATAATGGTCATTGAGGAAATGTCCATCAAAACCACAATGAGGTAACACTTCAAATCCAAATAGATTTAATTTTACAAAAAGAAAATACAAGTATTGGCAATTTGGAAAAATAGAAACTCTTGTACATTGCTGGTGCAAATGCAAAATGGTACGGCCACCATGGAAAAAGTATGAAGGTTTGTCAAAACATTAAATATAGAATTACCATATGATTCCATAACTCTACTACAGGTATACATCCAAGAGAAATAAAAACATGCCCATACATAAACTTGTACACTAATATTTATAGCAGCATTATTCATAATAGCCAAAGCTGAAAACTCAAATGTCCATCAATAAATGAATACTTAATTGTGGAATGTATATCACAATTTATATCACAATAAGGAAAAGAAAACCTAGACAAGAAAGGATATATATAGTTGATTCTTGAATATGTGTCAAATGGGTGGATCCACTTATACATAGATGTTTTAAATAAATACTATAAATGTATTTTCTTAACATTTCCCCTCTAGCTTACTTAATTAAGAGCACAACATATAATACATATAACATATATGTTAATCAACTATGTTACCAATAGAGATTCTGGTCGAAAGTAAGCTATTAGTAGTCAAGTATTTTAAGTAGTTAAGTATTTTAAGTCCTTATATAATCAAAAGTTATATAAGGACTTTTGACTGTGAAGAGGGTTGGTTCCCCTTACATCTATGTTGTTCAAGAGTCAAATGCATTTCAAGGCTATTCACTATATAAACATCCTTATAAACATAGTTCAGAATACCATCAAATTCTGTACTTCCAAAATGATTCATTGTATGTTATGTAAATTTCACCTCAATTAAAGAGGGCTTATGTAAAAATAGTAAGAGCCTGTTTTCTTAAAAATATTTTAGGCACTAAGTTTTAGCTATTTCCCAAATTGTTCAGTGAATACTCATTTCCTGAGCCTCTGCTGAATAGCTAAAGATCTTTATAAAGATCTCAATAGCTTTTTCTCCTAACCCAGAGGTGGTGCTTCTTCTGATGCCCTAACATTTAAAAGTAACCTCTACCCTTGTAGAGATAAGTTTCCACTGAATTTTGGTTTTGATATAGAAAAGTAAACAGATTTACAGTAAATTCACAATTCTTAAACCTAACAGCACAGATTTTAAAATTTTATATAAAGTTGACTTTTATATTACACCTTCCTGAGTTCCTCAGCTTTGATGAGGTTCTTAAATTCTCAATTTTTCATGTTTTAAATTGGTCTAACAAGAATTTAATTTCATTTGGTAATGAACACCCAGAACTCTTACTCACTCTTTATCCAACTATTTTATGCAAATTAGTTCTGTAAAACTAACATTGCTGGTCCAAGGTTATATTCGTAAACAGACACTTCGATGTAAGTAAATAATTTCAAGATTTTCCCCACAAGAATGGAGTCCTTTTAGTAGAAAAAGGAAAGCCTAACAGTTAAGTTTTATTAAAACTGTTAAGTCTTTGTAGGTTTAGGTAAAAATATGAAATTTGGAATACTTCATTCAAACAATCACACATTCAAGCAGTGGCTCATCTTCGTATAGCTAGAAAAAAAGTTCTCACAGAAATTTCTGGGATGCTGGGTATGAGAGGATAGGTGATAATTGGTAACACCAGTGATCATAGCCTCTGCTCATCAATAAAGAAGCAAACCTTTAAATGGTCACAGCAAAAACCCAGTAGCTTTTTCATCATTTTCTAGCTATTGGTACTTTGAGAACACACTTAAAAATACACTCGCTTTCTAATCAAACAGTACTTTAAATGAAAAAATTCAGCTACATCACTGGTGGTTCTTAACCAGGGATAACTTTGCCCCCCAAAGTATGTTTGGCACTGTTGACAGGTATTTTTGATTGTGTATCTTCAGAATGCTACTGGTACTAGTGCATGGACTTCAACGATGCTGCTAAATCTATATTATAACACAGAGGACAGCCTCTCCCAGTAAGGAATTTTCAGACCCAAATGTCAACTTTGAGAATCCCTGAGCTACAATACTGGTGTCACCGTTTCCAGCCTGAAATTTGCAGCACAATCTCAGATTACTGCCCTGAAGCTCTTGACATGTTCAAGATGTAAATCTGATTTGTAATTATAAGAACTTGGGTAAACAATATAATATCAAGAAAAGGAGAGGTTAAACATATTCAGTAGAAAACTGACAGAGAATGAACTGTAAAAGCAAATAAAATGTAAATCAAGCCACAGCTATGTAGAGCCCAAATGCAAAGATTATTAAACTTTTAGATAATCCACGTTATTAGTTTAAATTTGCAATGTAAACAGTACAGGACATGATGGAAAATTAAAGGATATTGTAGGGGTTCTTTTTATATTCATGTAAGTACCTTTTATTTTAAGAATAAAATTAAAGAAACAGCTATCTCTATGGTTTTTTTCAAAGATTTTATTTAATTTTTAGAGAGGGGAAGAGGGAGAGAAAAGTAGGGAAACATCAATGTGTGGCTGTCTTTTGAGCAGTCCCTACTGGGGGGCCTGGCCTGCAGCCAGGCTCATGCCCTGATTGGGAATCAAACCAGTGATCCTCAAGTTCACAGGCCAATGCTCAATCTACTGTGCCATACCAGCGAGGGCTAATTCTGTTTTTACTGGAACTTTCAGCACTGTGCTTATCTTTGATAGCATATTAAATCTTCTTTGGAAGGAGGTAGGCATTAAACCTTTTTTCTTCCTGACACTTCATCAAGAAATAGTAACTTTTTAAAAAATATTTTATTTATTTATCTTTAGAGGGGAAGGGAAGAGAGGGGGAGCTTATCAATGTATGGTTGCCTCTTGTGGGTCCCCTGCTGGGAATGGCCTGCAACCCAGACATGTGCCCTGACTGGGAATCAGACCTTGATCCTCTGGTTCCTGGTTCACAGGCCCGTGCTCAATCCACTGAGCTACAAGAAATAATAGCTTTTTTAAAAAGGAAATAACGTTGCATCCTAAATGAGCTCTATTTTTTAAATTTGTTAGCACTAAAAAGCACTTTACAAAATGTTATTTAGGATATTCTTAATTCCAAATAAGGCCATCACAGAGTAAGCAAATGTGCTACTTGTTAGTTATCCTTAACCTGTTAATTTCTTAGAATTAAAAAAGGGGGAGCAGGGGGTAACAAAATTATCTTTATATTAAAATCTCAATTGATACAGGTCCCTGACAGTCAGTTTAAAATGAAAATCAAGTTTCACAAAATAAATACACCGAAGCAACTATAATAGTAATAATCTTTATTTAAAATACTTGTTAATCTAGGAAAGCTCATTTTACATGAGTTTCCAACTAATTATTAGAATCAGAAACAAAGAAAATAAAACCAGAGAAAATCCTCTGTAGAAAAAATACACAGGAACATTTACTTCTACACATGGAAAACAGTAAACAGTCTTAACATCTGAACATCCAAGTCTTAGTCTCAATTCCATCTCTCCTAGTGAACACTACTATCAACCTTGAGATCTGATTTGTTCTTGTCATTCTTCACTGAGTAGATGAAATACGTTAAGGTGTCTTTTTCATTCACTGGAATAGACCTAAAGTGGCAACCAACTATCTATAAAGAAAAAAATTGAGGAAATTAAATTATAGATTAACAAATTAACAGCTTATTAACAAATAAGCTTATTAACAAATTTCATAAGCTAGGTAAAAAACACTTTCATCAAGGGAAAAAAGTGCTATGTGATAACAGCTATTTCCGTTTTTTTTAAAACATTGTACCAAATATCTGAGTTAGTCTGGGGACTCTCTGCAGCCCCCAGAGATTCTTTTTTTAATGTTTTTTATTTTTATTTTTATTGTGTTCAAGTACAGTTTTCTGTCTTTTACCCCCATCCCAGCCCACCCCCCTCAGCCCTCCCCATCTCCCTCCCATTTCCACCCAGACCTATTTTCTTTTAAGAATAAACTGTTTTCAACAAAATGCCAACAGGGTAAAAAGCATATAAGAATAAGGTGTTATAAATATGAGACAGTATAATTTCAAAGGCCCTTTCAACCCACTCAATTAAATATACACTAATTAGAATGTGTATTTCTTTTTATTTATTTTAAATTTTATAACTGGAATCCAGGTTAGGAATTGTTTACTCTTATTATTTTTTGCTGCTATATATTTTAATCAATGGTAATACAGCATAAATTCTTATTTTGACATTCACCAAAAGAGTCACCTAGAAAACCTGCTTTTTGTGACAAAGTACTGAAGGCTTGATCATATTTAAATCACTGATAACTAGAGAGAAATACTACTGCAAACTGTAATAGACATTATATCCATAAAAATTTTCCCAGTGCTTACTGTCACATTGCACAATGCAATTGCTACATGGCAAACTAATGTAGCATAGAAGTAAAAGCAAAACCCTAACTAACCAAACAATAAAAGCCACAAGTATAAATTATTAAACAGTTAACAGATCAAACTCAGTAATCAAATCTATCATTGGGTTTGTTAAATTTTCCACCTTGCAGTGTATGATTTAACTTTTACTTAATACAAAGTTTAAATAGGAGAGATTTTTAAAAATGAAAAGGTTTTGATATTACAGTAACATCCTGAATTCAAAGAAAACTAAATATCAGGATATTTGATAAAAATAATAAAATAGCATACATAACTTGAAATTCATGCAGTGTTTTAAGAAAGCATTAAAACCAAAGAAAAGTGGTACAAATGGCTTTAATATAAAACCAGATTCATTCTTAACTGGTTTTTTATGTGTTTAAAAATAAAAGTTGAGATCCCATTAAAGCCTAAAGCACTTTGGTAATTTTTAACTTTTAAAAAACTTGGAATATCAATGAAATAGAACGTAAAAGTACACATTCATCATGCAATGGTTTAGACACTACTCATAGAAAAAGGGTAAATATGAAGTCAAAAATTTGGTACTACAGAAGCAAACCATGAAATGTCTTACGAACATATTTGCTACAACTTACATTCATCAGCAATGTATTTTTTAAATTTTTACTTCATGATTTTTAGAGAGATAAAGAGGAACAGAGAGAGAGAGAAAAACACTGATTTGTTGTTGTACTTCTTTATGCATTCACTGGTTGTTTCATGTATGTGCCCTGACCAGGGATCAAACCCACAACCTTGGCGTATATGGACCATGCTCTAACCAATTGAACTACCTGGCCAGGGCTGGGAATATCTTTGTTAAGGTTTCTTGAAAATTTTTTCTGAATAAAAATTATAAGTGGAAAATGAGAAGGGAAAGAGGGATGGATGTTCAGTCTACAATGTTTACTTGCTTCTTGCCTTTTCACTAATCCAACCTGTGTACTGCAACTACTAATGGAAGCACAGTTGACTAAACTGAGATGCTCAAAGGCATATCTAGATTCTAGAAGATAAAATGGGCTTCTTAAAGAATGCCTACCCAAATGATAATTAAGAGACTTAAGGAAGATGGTTATCCACTGCTGAAATCACTTATAAATATCCATATTTCTGACTAAATAAACTGTAATACTCATGGCTATTTGGATTATGGCTATTTCTCATTTTAAAATAAGAAAATAGCTCTAGAATTAATATAATTTTTTAGATCAGATTATCAAAAACTTCAGGTTTGGTTTATGTATTTAAAGAATATGTACATTTAGCCCTGGCTGGTGTAGCTCAGTGGATTGAGCTCGGGCCTGCGAACCAGACAATTGCGGTTTGATTCCCAGTCAGGGCACATGCCTGGGTTGCAGACCAGTTCCCTGCAGGCCAGTTCCCAGCAGGGGACGCATGAAAGGCAACCATACATTGATGTTTCTCTCCCTCTCTCCTTCCCTTCCCCTCTAAAGATAAATAAATAAAATATTTAAAAAAAAAAGAATATGTACATTTAAAATAATCATTTATTTGGTTCTCATTTGTTCCAAAACAGAGTACTTATACTCATTAGTATTTGATTATTTTGATATAGTTTCGTCATGGTAGATGCTATGTATATTTATGTTATACTAATGTGCCATACAATCCAAAAGACTAGATCTTTTAAATCAGGTTTTTTTAAAAATTGAATTTTTGTTGCCTAGGCAAGAAGGAAGAAAAAATTCTGGTTAAGAAGTTAATATACTGGATCTTAACAATGTTAAAAAGCACTGCATTCTGCCAAAGAATCGCACCTTTTATTCACTTTTTCTCTTGTCCAATATGCACATTTTAGAAAATGTGGGATTATACTAAATTAAAGCTAAAGAACATGGGGAAAGTGATTTGTATACTTATAAATTTCTATTCTGCCTAGTAGGTTAAGTCTTTTCTATTTTAAATGTGATTAAAGTATAAATATTATTTATATAAATTAGTAAACATCTTAATACCATGCACAGAATTCTTTGTTCTATTTTTCCTGAGAACACACACACATACACACACACACACTCAACTTTTCAAAATTCACTGAAGTTGTATCTCAAAGCAAACTATTAAGTAAAGTCCTATATCAAAGCAAGCAAGTAAAGCTTTGCATCTTCTAGATTTGAAGAAAACATAGATGACTAAAATTCTGAAATAGTTAAATCAGAAAGTTGTGGAAATACTGCTTAGGGGCTTATTTGTAGATTTATTTCACGAGAAACTTAAAAATAATTCTAATAAAGACAGCAAAGTGTATTACTTTGTTTTATTATTCCTCAACTAGATGTTCAATAAATATTTACTGAGTAAATGAAATTTTAAAATAAATTTCTTGAATGAGAATACAAATTCTCACACAATATTTTTGAGACCCAATATTATAGGATGCTTAGAAAACTATACATAATCCATTGATTAATCATTACATAAAGAAATTTCCTAAGAGGCAGGCAAATATTTCAAGGTAACTAGATTCTTCCATAATAGATCTTTAAAATTAACTTTGATTCTAATTAAAATTAAAATATTTTGTTTTATACACTGTTAATTTCATTTGCATTTAATGACCATTTTTTTTTGAATGAATAGAGTTCTTTAAAGTTTATAAAAGTTTAAAATTCATAAATACCTCAACAAGTTGTGCTTTATTAAGTCCTGGTCTGGTTGGTAGTTTGAAGTGTCTTTTGTATCTCCTAAGCGTATTTACTTGTAATTGGTATAAATCAACCTAGAAAAAAAAAACATATGAATAAGTTCATCCAATCTGTTAAAAACTTACCTTTCATATGTGTAACATTTCAATTATAGCACTATGAAATTTTCATTCTATTATTTAAAAAACGTTTCACAGCATCAAAACTATAAATGTAGTAAACATTTTAATCCTTTGAGAATAAATATTAAAAACTGAGGAAAAAGTTGTAAGACAACAGAACTACAGAAATTGCCAACTGAAAATACAAGTTAAACTGCATCACTGTGTTAACTGTCTACATTTAATTTTACTTTCATTTTCAGATTTTTCAAATGTCTTGAGTATTTTTAAAATTTGTTCATATCTTTTTTTTATAAGAGTTTCAGAAGGGATTACTTAGGATTTACATTTAACGTGCAAAAACTTTCATCTACCTCAGGAGTATCAATATCTTGAACTGGTGAATCTCCTCCATCATCATCACTCCCTTTTCTCTTTCTTCTGTTCCGAACACTCTGAATTAAGTTTTTATGATAATCACAAATGTAGAGATGCCTTACCTGAAACAGAAAAGTTTCACAGACTACTTAGATTTGCATTAAAATGTGTCTATGTATTGGTGAAATACATAGGCCACAGTGAATCATAAAAAAAAAAAAAAAGAAGAAGAAATTCAAAACAGGGCATTGTTAAGACAAGGGCATGCTTTTTTCTAAAGTCCTGCCAGTTAAAACACAACACGTCTGGCAATACTGTTAAGAGGATTGGGAAGTGAGGTGGGGGAGGGGTGACAGTAAGGAAAGAAAGGCGAGAAATTCCAACCCTCTAGATTTTGTCATCAAATTGCAGATAGGATGAACTAGCTGAGTAGGGTCATACTGGTTTGCTAACAAGGGAAATGATGACGCTGCCCACAATTTTTCTATTTGATAGTATTTTTCTCTATTTAAAGAGCATATGTTAATAGCATAATATATACTTCCTAATTTAATATTCAAATTATAATCCAGATACAGAACTATTCATTTTTACAAATGAGCTATTGATTTTCATATCCTAACTACATTTAAATTTGGGATTATAAAGTTTTCTAAGTATTAAATATATTTGTGTTTTCCAATCAAAGCAAAGTAAAATTATTCAAGTCTACCTAAAAGTTTCTCACAAACATGACTGAAAAACCTTTTAAAAAAGCAGAAAAGAATAGAAACGTTCCGCAGTGTGAATTATATAGTCTGAAAGCTGTATAGTAACATTTGAAATTAGGATCTTTATAGAATAGGTTACTTCTTTAAAAACAAACAAACAATTAAGTACTGAGCTAACAAGCTTAAAAATGAACTTTTAAGATAAGTGCAAGTTAAAAATAAGCAGGACATGTACTATGTTCTGACATCTTGTCATTAATTTACATCTGCCAGAGCTCCGGAAAACGGCAATGGTTGTTTCTAGAAGTCTCATAGATGGTCAAAACCGCAGACATGAAGAAGGACGGAAAAAGAAATCCTGATGGCTGCCAAACGGCTCCCCACGTTCGGAGCAGCTGCCCTAGATGCTGACATCGCCGCCACTGTGCAGAACCCAGGATCACAGCAAGGAGCGGCGGGAGCTCAGCTTCCCCCTCACTCTTACACAAGGGAACGAGACAGGATCTTTCTTGACTGCGGCGTCAGGTCCTTGCAGAATTCCACTTTCCCTAGACCGGGGAAGCTACTTCCTGGGGCCAAACGCCAGCTTGGGCAGCAAAACAAAGGCGCCTCCATTCCAGAAGGAGCTGCCGGGCAACAAGAAAACTACTCCAGCCACCCTCCATGCGCTAGTTCCCTTTGTTTCGTTTCCGGATCTAAGGGGGTGGAGGGGGGGGGGAAGACGGGGAGCGGGAGGGACGCGGGGACTGAAGGGGAGGAGAAGCACAAGGTGCTAGTGTGTGGCCCTTGGGGGTGGCAGTCGGAGTTGCTGCGACTTGGTTTTTTTGTTTGTTTCTGCCAGAGACCTCACAACGGGTATGCAATTGCAGCAAGGTCTCGGGGAGCTCTGAACTCCTGGCCCAACAACCCGTTTGCACCGCTCCCGGGGCCCCAAGGCGGCGGGCAGGGCAGAACTGTCCCGCAATCACTTACGCTCTTATCCAGCTCGATCTTCACCTTCTTCTGGGAGATGCTCTTCTGGATCCTCTTGCTGAAGCTGGCGTTGCCTGCCGCCCGGCCGCACCGCTCACCGTCCTCCCGCAGACAGCATAGTTGCCCGGGGCCCGGTCCAGCTGCTCCTGGGGGTCCAGCCGCCGAGACTGCCCCGGCGCCGGGCATCTCAGTTCCTGCTCCCGCCCCGGCCCCGTTCCCCGCCGAAGCGGCTGCGGCGGCAGCGGCGGCGGCAACCACGGCGGCCACTGCAGCGGCCGCATCTCCGCCGCGGCTCATCTCCTCTGGCGTGAAGCCGTTCATGATTCCAAGATTGGGGGCGCCGGCGCGGACAGAAATCTCTCTCTCTCTCTGGAGATTACCGGGTCTCTGCGGGGTCCCTCAAGCACTTGCCCTAGAGTCAGCAGGTCACTCTACACCCCAAGTTCTACGGCGGTACGGCCGAACACCTAGCGTTCCCCGCGAGCTGGTGTCTGTTGGCTCCGGGACAGTGGACAGTGCTTGAGGTCAGTATTCAGAGTCCGGCGGCTCCCGGAGCTGGAACGCAGCTCTCTGTCACATGGAGAAGCTTCTGCAGTTGGACCACCGCGTCTCCGCCTCCCTCCAGCCCGTCAACACGCGCAAGCGCGACGCGCCTTCTCTCGTCCCGCCCCTTCCACTCTGCCGCAAGGCACAAGGGGAATTGTAGTACTCTTTTGGGGAGTCAGCACGAGCTCGGTCCTGACCCCGCGCCGTCAAGAGTTGAAGGAACTACGTATCCCAGCATACCACGCGGAGGGCCGGTTCCGCCCCCCCTTTAAAGCTCGGGAGAAACGGGGGCGTGTTGTAGGTTTTGCTCAGTTTTCTTGTTTCTAATCTCTCCTGGCAGATTGATTGGTTGGTGTTTAGCTCCTGGAATTTTGCAGAGCTGGCATTCTAGACGAGTAGGTCACTCAACTCCCTCGAAGCACTAGACTAGGGCGCCGTGTGTAGGCGGGGAGTGAGGGTACTGAAAAAAAGTTTTGGGGCCGTTATCGTATCTATGATGAGTTTTCGTTGTGACCACGCTTTTGTGGGGAACCCAAACTGGGAGAACTATCTGCCGCTTTTCAGGTCCTAGAGGACCCCCAGTTAACACCGCGGCTGAAGGGCATTCATCGACGCAACTTAAGAGCGACTGCTTCAGCGAAAACGCCCATCTCGACGGCGAGAGTCTCGCAATTGAAGGTCTTTTCGAAATCTTTTGCGTGTTTCTGCAGCGATTTGTTTTATTCTTAGGTTCACAAATACGCCCCTTCTTGAGGGGGGCTAGTGACTTGTTGACTATAACAGGCCTTTAAACCACTACCCTCAACCTTTTATTTTTCCTGGAATGGCCCTGGAGAGGGCGGAGTCTAGTATCTTTTAAAAGGAGACGTGGAACCCTATCAATACCGAGTTAGCTTGAGTGCTCCTCACTTTCCAGAGGGGAGAAATAAACCGCGTTTCCTGGGTCTTCCGCATTCACGTGATGGGCTGAAAGGGTGTGCGTGTTTGTACATGGATGTGTGTGCATTTGCGCGGACGTGCGTGCGTGCATGTGTGCGAGTGCTTTCTGGAGGGCGGGGTAGAAGTATGGGAGCGGCTAATAAAGCTGCACCTTGGCTAGTTACAGTATGTTCTTAGCCGTAGATATTCCTTGTTTAACAATCTATTGTTTAAACTAAAATACAAAGCAATTAAGTTTTTTGAAAGTTAAGTTAGACTACCTGAGTAAATATAGTGATTGATGATTTTTTAAAAATGTCATCTGACCTCAACTTCAAAGCCAACCAGTCCATCTGTGCACTTCCCTTCTAGGATACTGCAAAAGAAAACAAAAGAATTAAAATATTACATAAATTGAGTAGTGAAAAGAAAGATGGGAAATGGTGTTATAATTTCAGTCTGCACTGTCCAATAGGGTGTTGGCTAGACGAATGTGGCTATTAAACACCTGAAATACGGTTATTGGGACTTAAAAATGGAATTATTAATTTTATGTTAATTATTTTACATTTAAAAAACTGACTTCAGTTATTGAAAAACTTTTAAGTGTGTTTGGAACAAACCTGAATATATGACTATTTTTGCAACTTCAACTTTATGAAATCTAAATTCAGCATTGAGATGCCAAATTGAGATGTGCTCTAAGTCTAAATTATTAGTGGGATAAGTCTAAACAACTATGGGATTTCAAAGACTTAATAGCAGAAATTTCAAGAAAACAGAATATTGCATAGCTCGTTAACAATTTTTTATCAATTACATGTTGAAATAATATTCTGGGTATACTGGTTTAAATAAAATATAACATTAAAGTAAATTTTACCTGTTTCATTTATTTTAATGAGACTACTAGAACATTTAAAACCACACGTAGCTGAAATATTTACATTAGATAATGGTGTCTTAAAATATTAAAACAATACTACTACCTTCTTTATGGATAGATTTTCTCAACTGGTCAAATGACAACATAAAGACAGGATGGTTACATTTCAACTTCAGGATTGTGGTCATCTCTCAAAAGGGAGGCCAAAGGATAGCAGATAGGTTCAAATAACTTGTACCTGAAAGATCACCATCTCATTGCAACTTTTTTGGTGATAGCACACTATTAAGCTTCTTTTAGGTGTTTTAAAATATCAAAGTGAATATTGAAGGGGAGAGCATAGGTAGGGAGTTGTGAGGAATACTGTGATCTTTCCTCAGAGGTAAATTCAGAAACATTAAAAGAAGTGTGGCCAAATGCGTACTGTTTGTCTGGATTTTCTGATGTGTTACTATCTTAAATAATTCACTATAAAAATAAAATGACTTGTCAATTGCTATGCAAAAATGAAAAGATGCTATTTAAAAAGTTATGAATCACTGACTGCATAGAACAAAATACCTGTTTAACAGTTTTATTAGATTATTTTTCTGCCATAATAAAAAGGCTGGGGGAAGATGGCTTCCATAGTTCAACAACGTTGAAGTTGGCATCTATGATTTTCTTGCTTTTTTCTCATGCTACTCAAGAGTAGCATTCTGCCCTGGCTGGTGTAGCTCAGTGGATTGAGCGCGGGCCTGCGAACCACACGATCGCGGTTCGATTCCCAGTCAGGGCACATGCCTGGGTTGCAGGCCGGTTCCCTGCAGGCCAGTTCCCAGCAGGGGACACACAAAAGGCAACCATACATTGATGTTTCTCTCCCTCTCTCCTTCCCCCCTTCCCCTCTAAAGATAAATAAATAATAAAATATTTTTAAAAAAAAGAGTAGCATTCTCACAACTAGTTGGAACCAACAAAAATCTATCAATAACATTCCTAGTCAAGGTATTTTTTAAAATATTTTATTTATTTATTTTTCAAGAGAGGGGAAGGGAAGGAGAAAGAGTGGGAGAGAAGTATCAATGTATGGTTGCCTCTCATGGGTCCCCTGCTGGGAACTGGCCTGCAACCCAGGCATGTGCGCTTACTGGGAATCGAACCGTGATATTCTGGTTCACAGGCCCACACTCAATCCACTGAGCTACACCAGCCAGGGCGATTGTTAGTTTTTAAGTGTATGAAATACTCTTGTTATACTATATCATAATGTCATAGCATTATCCATAGTACTCAGGGCCAGGTGCTTGAGAATTAAACCTCACTTGCCAGTTGCTAGACTGTGCTGGTTATTTGTTGTCTTTCAGTTCCTTTCTCTTGCTCTTTCCTCTGTACTGCAAGGGTACTGGAATCCTTAAAAAAAAAAAAAAAATTCCCAGACTCACTTGTCAGTTGGTCTCACATTCAGTTTTGCTAATGGGAGATCAAAAAGCAAGAGGAGGACAAGAAGGCATTTTTCTTCTTCAGGCTCCAGTAGCCTCAGCAGCACTGAGCTTCTCTGCCTCCAAGAATAGGGAGCTGGCTGAAGTCAACTGGCTTCTTGAGAAGTAGGGAACAGTTTAATCATGCAACAGTTATGTTTTGAAAGCCTCAGAGGCACAGCATTTGTGGCTTTTGTATAACACCACTTTCTCTTTTGTCCCCCCCCCCCCCAGTGCTAGGATGGTAGTTTTTCTTGTACTTACCTCTAGATAACAATACCACCAACTTTTTGCTCCTTCAGCCCTTCTGTAAGGATTTCCTCAACAGTAAAGGTAATAACATTCCCTCTGAAATACCCAAAGTGTTCTTCTTTTCCTGACTGGACATTAAGTGATACTGTGACCATGGGCTATTCTCTTTGCCTAACTGACTTCTATCATATGAAATAGTATACCTCTTTCATTGGATTATTAGGAGGATTAAATGGATTAATATTTTTAGAGTACTTAGAACAGTGCCTGGCACAAAGCAGAGACTGTGTTTGTTAAATAAATGGTATTTTTCATACTCTATTTTAAAATACATATGGCATTAGCAATACAATTTATAAAAGCTAATGTCCTGTTCCATATAGCTATCCCTTCATGCAGCCAACTCAATAATCTTCTCTTGTTATCACTGCTTAACACTATCACTTCCCTACCTCTCATGCCTGTCTTATTCCTATTCATCTCTTCTTTCATAAAACAGTATATATGTTTTTCACAGTATCTGTCTCTCACTTGCTATAGATATTGACATTTTAGAGGTCTGTAGGATTCAATATTTTTATGAAATTATTGTATTTTAGGATGCTTCAGTGGTGAGAGGGATATGCTGGGTGGAAAGCAGTACTGAAAGTGGGACACAATAGGTTATATTAGAACCTGAAGATGAATCCAGAATCTTCACAGTGGGGTGTCAGTGCCCTCATGTAGAAGAAAGGCTTGAGAAATAGATTCTTTTGGTTAAATTGTGTCTCCATTAAGACTAATTGTGTCTACATTAAGACCATCTTACATTTGTATGGAGTTATTTCATTGACTTCTGTTTTCGGATATTGAAAATATACTTGATTTTGATCTCATACTCAGCAGGTAGAGCAGACTCAGATTTTAGAGCCACATTTACTCCATTCCCAAAATCCTGAAGACACCTCAACTCCCTGCCCTGAATAGTGGAAATGAGATAGGCCTAGTGATTACTGAATAGACAGAATTCTGCTGTCTGTACAAGAATAGAACCATTGTCCAGACAATTGGTTTCAGAAATTCCTAGAATTTCTGTTGAAGTTTTTAATAAAGATCAGTACTTCAACTTTTACTGTTCTTTAATCTTTCAGCTTGTCCTACAGTGTAAATACTTCTTTTTATTAATTAGTCCAGTCTTCAACTATGCATAAGTGTTATTTTTAATCTGATTAGACTAATTCTAGATTTTATATTTAGATATTTTCAAAGTACATCTGAAAATATATCATTCATGAACATATTTTAAAATACAATGAAACTAAGCATAATATGAAAATTAGGGGATAAAGTTGTAAATATGTTACCTTTATATTTATGTGTATTCACTTTTTTCTTTTAGAAGATTCTGGCACAATTCTCTATGCTCCCAGTGAGAATTCAGCCCATCTGTGTTGAAAATAGATCTTTATGTATGTTTAGGTGTCCTCTAGTTTCCAACTAATTGTGCTAACCCCACACAATTGCCAAAAACTTGCTAAATTCTCTTTCCCTTTCTAAAAGTCCTTATGCCTGGGCCTAGTGAGACTGATTCTCAGTTCCAGGCCTAAAATCTACAAATTGTTCCCCAAATCATCAGTACACCTATAAGGAGCCTTTCCCTGTCTGGAATTTTAGTCTGGATCACTTTCTGATTGCTTTAACAGATTTCCAATGTATGTAAAAACATGAATTTTGTAATTTGTCCTTTTTCCCCTAATTGTGGCAGTGGAGGCTTTTAGAAAGTATGTAAATAACTTTTTTGTGGACATTTTTTAGTATATACTGATTCACAAAAACAGTTATCAGCTTTTTTTTTAAGAAAAAACAAAAGTAACTTGGCTTACCATTTTTTCATTGAAAATGCTAGTGGTGGATGAAAGGTATTTTTTTGTTTGATGTTTCTTAACCTGAATTTTAATTTTTTTCACAAAAATATTGTTTAACTACATCATTAAGTTGAATATCCAAAGTGAGTATGCAGTTAGGTCTCAGAACCAGCGAGGCCTAAATGAATGTGCCCCATAAATGAATGTGCCTGTTTGATAATAATACTTCATTATGTTTGTCCTCTTCCTCTCATTGCCTTTAAAATAACTTGAAAATATTAAATTCCAACGTAAGATTTATCTTTGAGAAGCTAATGTGTCTGCAGAGTAATGGTTTCAGTTTTTTACATTAACTATGCAAATTGAGAGAACAATACTTATTTTATATGCAACTAATCTTATATGCAATACACTATATTTTGGCTATGAGTTAATAAAAATAATTATTGAGAATTTATTTACTGTTCTGTGGTGGGAGAATTTACAAAATATGTATAATGACATTTTCTTTCTCTCAGGGTTTTACAATCTGGTTTGATGATCAGGCTATGAAAAGTCCAAATTCTTAGACTGACAGAGTAAATGATATGAATTTCAGTAGCTAGCAAAATCCAGATGATTTCTACACAATCCTGCTAGAGATAAATTCCAATTTACAGAATAGGATAGGGGACCTACTTTGGAAACAGCTTCAAACCTAACTCATAATTAGTTTATTGATAAATATTTATGTTACAATCCATGAGATACTAAATTCAGGCAAAGTTTGGCAAATAAAGTGACATATCAGTATCATCTTGGGGGGAAAACTCTGGTAAGATCATTTTACTAAAAGACTAAGACGACTGACCAATATTGTGTATCCAAAGTTTGGTCTATTACATTTGGATAGCTATAAACTTTTATTTCATTAAATACTGTTTTGAAGTAACAGGGCTCATAACTAATTGGTATTCATAACCAAGGAATTTCCTAGAACCCAAGTTACCTTTTTAAATTTTAATTATCTCTTGAACACCTAACAATTGCAAAGTTAAAATATTCATTTCCCCATATTATGATCACATATTCACAGAATGATAGAATCATACACCTTAAACACTGAATGATATTTCAGAAATTATCCTCTGAATGTCATTTTACAATTTCTCAATCAAAAGCCTAGAAATATTAAGTATACTGTGCAAAATCACAAGCCTTTGCTGGATTTTAATTTATACATTTTTTAAATGAACACTTTCTTTTTTATCATCATTAAGATGTATCATTTTAATAAAAATAAAATTGGAAAATTATTTTTAGGATATATTAAGTTGATGTGTTTCTGAAAAGAAATGGTTCTAAAGTTGAGTTTTAGAAATACAATCTTATTTTCCAACTAGAAGCAACAAGATGAGAAACACCAGAAGAAATACCTTTAGTGTTGCTTCTTTATAGGACATTTCGGTTTTCCGATAGCTATAACAGTATGCCAAGTAATTCATAATAGTGAACTAGGCTTCTTGTGTATTTAATCCATCTTTTCAGAACAACATTTGGGATGAGATTTTTTTTGTTTGTGGTATCAGATTCTGTATATAATTGTTATTTTAAAAAGGGCTTATTCTATGACCAACAACTGTCTTTATCATACTTAAACCTTATTTCATTTATCTCTTCACTGTGTATCTCAGTGTTACTTCTAGGTCAGGAAGTACAGCATGAGAGTAAAGTCTTGACCTCAATGTTAAAAGCAGATTAAATATAGAAATGTTTTCCTGTCCTCTGCTGTGATGGAGTAAAGAATGTAAATTGTTGTTGTCTGGGTGGGCTGTAAGGGAAGGATCTATTCCAGGCCTTTCTCTTTCCCTTGTAGATGGCCACCTTCTCTTTGTGTGTTTTCACATCATCTTGCCTGTATGGCTGTATCTGTGCCCAAATTTTCCATTTTTATAAGGATACCAGTCATATTGGATTAGGGACCTCCCAGCTTCAGTATGACCTCAACTAATTACATCTGCAATGGCCCTATTCTCAAATAAAGTCAGTTCCAATTGTGCTATAAAAGCACATAAAATGCAAACTGACAAAATAAACCATACTACATTATTTAAATAGCAATAAAGAGATCGCCAATAATTACACCTTTCAAATTTATTTTTAAATTCAGTAGCATTAATTAGGTACAGGGATAATAGGGCCGTGCAACTAATATCTTTCAAAGAAAAATACATTTAAAAAATTGAGTTTTCCTCAGTAAACTTAGATTAATAGCTGCTGCTTCTGAGGTTCTATTGAGTACAATTACTGATTACAAAACAAGCAAGAATACACAGTCCAACAAAGCCAGTGAACTTATTGTGAAAATAACAGACTGTTATTTTCATATATACAACTAAATACAACTAAATACAACACAGAAATAGAGAACTGTCAGTGAAACTACTCCTACCCTGGAGAAAGCAGCTTGTGACTCTAGAAAACACTAAGTAGTTTTGGTGCCCTTCGATCGGCCACTAACACGAAGTTAACTTAGGCTTGGAGGAGTCTGTAAAATGCTGCTGCTTGGAGCTTGGTGAATACATGCAATTGGGGGTGCGGAGCAACGTCCACATTGCTTTGATCGGAGTCTCAAATGGATCTTTGACATTTACAACTTTTTAAGTACTGTCACATCAGAGGCACAAGACAGCGCAGAACGAGGCAGAACGAGGTGTCAGCTAGGCCACCAAAGGTGGCGAGGTCACCAGGGCTTCGACCCCTACCTGCTGCGGTCGGATGGGCGGGCCCCAGCCCTGCGGCCACAGCCGGGAATCCGGACCCGGACAGTAGGGGTGGGGCTGGGGGGAGGCCGCCCGCCTCCGCCCCACGGGGACCCCGTTGTTTACCTCTCAGTATTTGACACCGGGGACAAAGGGGTCAGGGAGGGAGGGACCTCCCAAGGGAAACATCAAGACAGAAAGCGCCTTACTTTTTCAGGTCGATTTGTAACAGCCCCGCAGAGGCGAGACCAGCTGTCCTCCCGCGCCCTTTCCCAGGTCCCCAGCCAGCTGACATCCTTTGGTTCCACCCCACCCTCAGCGACGACGGGTGGGCCTGGGCAACGGGTGCGCAGAGTAAGCTCCTCAGACCTTCCCCCTTTATTATTCTGTGCACGGGGCACGGGAGAAACAGGACGTGGACAATGCTCGGGGCAGGGCAGGCTGCTTCTGTTTTCTCAGCGACAGTAAACCGAGTCGCCCCCCGCCCCCACCTCCACCTTGAGAACGACCCCCGTGCTCGCGATTTGGTATTTTTAAATCTGGCGGGGCTTCTCCTCTCGGGCCAACCACTCCTCCACGTTTATTGCCCTAGCCAGTCAGCGTCAGGCCCGCCATTTTTCAAACCCTCTTCCTGCCGCCAATCAAGATGGAGCAGTACATTCCTCTCCCGACCGGTTCTAACGGGTCTGGGAGTTAACGACCTGGGCGACCCACCGAACCTGCTAGGCTGGGGGTGGAGGGACGGGCCCGGCGAGACACCCACCAATAGGAAACCTCCACTGAGAGGGGGCGGGGCTTATCAGAGTTTGAATACTCACCAGATCCAATCAGAGAGGTGCGGGTGTGGCCTGTGGTCCTGCTCGTCAAGTTGCCGTGGCGCGGAGAAGTCTGCAAAACAACAGCCTGAGGATTGGGTAAGCGATAAACCAGTTCACGCCGGAGCCCAGCGAGAGACGCGTCTCCGCCGGAACCTGCTACTTGGTGGGACGCTGAGGAAAACCGACCACCAGGCAAGAATCCCCTTCGACCCCGCTGGGGTTTGTGGGCCGGCTGCCCCCGTCCCGCACAGCCTTCCAGCCGTAGTGGGCGCTGGGCCCTCGGGGTTCGCCCCGGCGAGCGCAATCGGGGTTGCGGGCCGGTGAGGGCCCCAGGCTGTTGAGAGCGGGCGGGAAACTCGTCCGGGCCCGGTTCCGGGTTTGTTTTTTTTTTTTTTTAATGCCGGTCACGAGGCGACAGCTTTGAGTAGGGCTCGCGACGTGGAAGCCGGGGGACATTTCTGTCCGGAAGGGGTTTCGAGGGCGCCTGCGGCGTTCCCTTCCTCCGCGCGGGCCGGTGAGCGGGCGGCGGCGGCGACTCCGGCTTCGGAGAGGGACTTAACTCAGTCGCACGGGAGGCGTCTCAGCTGGGACTGTTTGGGTCGGGCCTCCTGCGCGGGAGCGTGTGCGCGGCGGGGGTGTCGCCGCGACCCCGGGGGCGGGCGGTCCGGCGGGGGAGCCGGGCTCCGGCGGCTGCTCGCGCGGAGGGGGGGCGACGCGGGCGGGCGCGGGTTTGGGCGGGAAGCCGAGCCCCGCCGGCGCCCACCCCCGGGCTTTGGTCCCTCCAGGTGGACGTCGTCTGTCACCATGGCTAAAGGCGACCCCAACAAGCCGAGGGGCAAGATGTCCTCGTACGCCTTCTTCGTGCAGACCTGCCGGGAAGAGCACAAGAAGAAGCACCCAGACTCCTCCGTCAACTTCTCCGAGTTCTCCAAGAAATGCTCGGAGAGATGGAAGGTGAGGCGGGCGGGCGCCGGGCCGAGCTTTGCAGGTGCGTCGGGGCTGGGCCGCGCGTGCAGCGGGCGGCGGGCTCGCAGCGTGCAGCTCCCCGTCCCGCCGGCTCGCTGAGTCTCTGAGTTTTAGGCAGACCGCCTTCGGTTTTTGTTGAGTTTAAGAGCTTTCAGTTCTGCTGCGTTTTGACTGCGCTTTTCATGCTCACAGACCATGTCTGCGAAGGAAAAGTCCAAGTTCGAAGATATGGCCAAGAGCGACAAAGCCCGCTATGACAGGGAGATGAAAAATTACGTGCCTCCCAAAGGCGATAAGAAAGGAAAGAAGAAAGATCCCAATGCTCCTAAAAGACCTCCGTAAGTTTCTTTATTTTTTTAAATCACTTGGAGTTGCTCTGGATTTTCACTCAGTTTATTAACTTTGTTACTTCCTTTCAGATCTGCCTTCTTCCTGTTTTGCTCTGAACATCGCCCAAAGATCAAAAGTGAACACCCTGGTTTATCCATTGGGGATACTGCAAAAAAATTGGGTGAAATGTGGTCTGAACAGTCAGCCAAAGATAAGCAACCATATGAACAAAAAGCAGCTAAACTGAAGGAGAAGTATGAAAAGGTACACTGTTTAAAGACAGGGTTGAAATTAGGTAGATAATTTCTGAGTAAGTATGTCAGAAGTAGATATAAACTGTAGAAAGTTGGGAAGTTTAGATAATCTTACATTAATGGTTATCAGCTGTTTTTGAAAAGGCCTGATGAAAATTGTACACTCAGGCAATACAAGCTAATTGAGAAATCTCCTTTCTTATATTTTTCTTTGCTACTTTATTGAATTTCTTGAGGCGACATTGGTTAATAATTATATAGGTTTCAGGTGTGTAATTCTGTAGTGCATTCTTTGCGATTGTATTGTGTGTTAACCACCTCAAATTAAGACCCCTCCTTTCACCATTTATCACCCCCATAACTCTCTCCTACTTAAACCAGTGTATGTAGCACTGGTGGGTTCTTGCATATAGACTCATTTGTGGTTATGTAGGTCCCTTAGTTTGAAAAGGTGGAAGACCAGATGTATTTTATGTAGGTGTGTCTAAATGTGAAGTTGAAGGGGCAGGGGATGCTAGTGTGGCACAAATAGGTGTTTGATAGAGTACTGACCTTGATCTAATACTACCCCATCATTTTACATCATTAGCTTTTTAAGGCCTAGAAGTATCAAGTGGTCTCAAAACTGAGACGAGATAAATTTTGAGACAGTCACAAGGATTATTGGTCAATAATCTTAGCTTGTTTACAACTTAGTGGTTTTCAGTTGAGAAATTACACCGGATGCTGATTGTATTTTCTTGACAATATTTCAGGATATTGCTGCATACCGTGCCAAAGGCAAAAGTGAAGTGGGAAAGAAGGGACCTGGCAGGCCAACAGGCTCAAAGAAGAAGAATGAACCGGAAGATGAGGAGGAGGAAGAAGAGGAAGAGGATGAGGAGGAAGAGGATGAAGATGAAGAATAAAAGGCTCCAGCAGTGATGCATGTGGAGTATGTGTGTGCTCAGGCAATTGTTTTGCTAAGAATGTGAATTCAAGTGCAGCTCAATATTAGCTTCAGTATAAAAACTGTACAGATTTTTGTATAGCTGGTAAGATTCTACGTAGAGAAAATACTTTTTTCAAAGTGCAGGTTGTAGCTTTTTGAGGGGGCTACTACATACAGTTAGATTTTAAGGCTTTGGATGTTAAATGTTTCTAAATATTTAATGGTTTCTTTAATTTCTTGACTTGTGTATGGTAGCACAGCAAACTTATAGGAATTAGTATCAATAAGTTTTGGGGTTTTTTTAGAATGTTGGCATTTTGTTTTATAAAAAATTTTGTAATAAAATTATGTATATTATTTCTATTGTGTTTGTCTTAATATGCTAACTTTTACTTTAAAAAATATTTAGGGTCTGGAACCATGTCCGCTTTTTTGTATTTCTGTCTAATAGTACTTAGACACACTTGAGTTAGTAAAATATTTGGCTAAAAGAAAATCAGTATGTTCATGTTCATATTTATAAAATGTTCTATAAAAATCAGTTCTGGAATTTAAAGAATTTGGAAAACTTACGCAGTTTTAAAAAATGAATGTTCTTGACATTTCTAATAATAGCTAACCTGTCCACCACTCGGTATTTTTGTTTTTGAACCTACAGTTTATTTTGAGGACAACTTTAATATGAGACAGAAACTAGTACAGTGAATCTATATCTAAAAACACAAAGTTAAAAAACAGACTACTGAGGTGAATTTTGAGATAAATCTAAAAATTAGTGGTCTTAAGCTTTAGATAGAATTCTGGGTCTCCTAAGAGCGATTGTGATGTCATAACAAATTTCATTAGACTTACACAAGGGGATGATTTTTTTTTTAAAGAAATGTTCATTTGAGGAAACGGTTGGCTTGTATTTAGATAACTTTTAAATAGTTATTGGAGTCTTAGTGAAAATTGACTATTTGTTGGTAGTTTCATAGTTAAACCTGACAATCTTTGTTACCTATGAAGTTTTAAAATAGCCAAAATTCTTACCCAACCATGGGAGTCTTGGTTGTATATTTTAAGCCATATTTGGAATAAGTATTCAGTGTAAATATATACCAATGTTTTAATTAGAAGTGAGGTATAATGACCAGAGCAAATTGACTCAAGTAAAATCTTCAGACCTTTTTATGATAGTTTGCTGTTAATCATATTCTAATGGTTACAGGTATAAAGAGGTATTTTTTGCTGATCATGAAACGAAAACTAATTTTATGTTTTTAAAAAATATTTTCTGGTGTTATGTGGCTTAACACTAAAAAATTGGTGGTGTTATTTTAGGGATATACCTAGGTCTGGATCCCAGTTCCCAGCTCTACCAAATACTAGCTGCATGAACTTTACCTTTGAGCTTGTTTCTCCCCATTTTTAATAATGGACTGAACTACTTCAGTGTTTTAATGATTAAATTAGAATGTTATAAAGTATTGAAAACAATACCTAGAACATAGAATGTTAAATAGGAGTTTGTAAAATTGAAATACAGTGAAAGTGTTTCCTTAAGGATTTTTATAGCTATGCATTAGATCAAGGAGGCAGACCTATCGGGTTCCTTGTCACTTTTGTTTGAGGTGGAAGGGGTTTGTAATGGCTTTCATTGTGTTCTTTATATAGACTCTTAAGTTTCCAAGCTAAGAATAACTTCTCTTGATCAAGAGCTGTTCCAGAATAAGCTCAGGATTTGAGATGAGTCTTCAAGTTTGATATTTTGTAAGTAAATCAAAATTTCAAATTCCTCTGAAAGATGATTAGACCAGTAAGTTTCCAAGACCAGGAGACTTCAAGTAGTATGATAGTTATGTTGGAAACATAATGAAATAGGGATTAGAATGAGGTTCTAGCCCAGACCAGCCTGTCTTGGTGGGTATGTTTATGAAAACACTTTTTAAAAATAGTTGATAATGGGACAAAATATAAAAGGGCTATGTATTGGATAGTTCATATTCTTGATTACCAGCTATCTGGTCGATTCAGGACAACTATTGCAATAACTTATCCTTCAACTTAAGTGTATGTACATCAGTGTTGCTTTGTTGCTTAAGTGGAAGCTTACTAGATGTACTCTTGTGCCCCTTATTCTCATCATTATAGAGATTGTTTTTACATTCATTTAATTAGCTGCATAGTACCCCATTGAACATTTATACATGTTAAAAAGTTAGGTTTTGGGGGTTTTTTGCTTTAAGGACAATATTGTGAACATCCTTGTATGTGGTTTCAAAAAACTTGGTTTGTACATTTTAAAATTTGCTAATTATGATAGAATCTGTACCTGCTATATGCTAGAAAACTGCCCTGATGCTTTTGTTAACTTACTGAAGCCTGCCAAAATTTCTCTCAGTAGAAGCTGTACCTCATACAAACTCCATAGCAGTGTTTTGGAGTGCCTATTTCCTCGTCTTGGCAACATAATAGTTCTCAAACCTAATCTTTGCTATTCTGGTATGTTAAAAGTGGTTCCTCCTATTAATTTAGCTTATTTTTGTTTAAAAGCCATTTGTATTTCCTGTGCTTTTTTTCTCTCATGGGTCTTTCTATTGGTAATCCGTGGGAATTAAGGAAAATGACCCTTTGTGACATACATTGGAAATATTTTTGTCTTTGATTTTTTTTTTTACTTTATGATGCTTTTGTCCTGCAAAGGTTTTTATGTAGGCAAATTCTTTATGGACCTTGGGAGGCCTTTCTCACTCAAAGATTATAAAAATAGTCTTCACTTTCAAAAATTGTTAAATTATTTGATCCTTTTGGAATTAATTTTGGTGTAAGGACTGAGGTAGGGGCTCAAATTTATTTCTAGATGGTAGCCATTACTTTTAGTCTAGTAATCCAGGGGTCCCGAACCTCCAGGCCATGGACCCACACTGGTCAGCCTGTTAGTAAAGGGGTGCACAGCAGGAGGTGACTTGAATGTAATATGCTTGAATTATCTCAGAACCATGCCTGCCCACCTCCCCTCCCTGGGTCCGAAGAAAAATTGTCTTCCATAAAATGGATCCCTGGTGCCAAAATGGTTGGGGACCTCTGCTGTAATCTATAAAAAATGGTGCTGATCCTTTGATATACATGGGCCCTAAGATCCTAAGGGCCCATGTATATCAAAGCAGTCACTTGCAGGCTTAATAGATGACAGTACACCTTTTAAGTATTTTTGCTTTGAACAACATTTATTCTAAGTAAATCAAGCTTAGCTTATGGTAGTACAAATAAAGCATTATCTGAAACCCTGCTTTCTATTATATATACTGCTGAAAATGTTTTACAAAGCAGCAATGATTTGATTTTTTGTGAAATAGAAGGAAACTAAAGGAGCTATGTCGCCACTGCGTAAGATTGAGTCCTTTTAAAATAAAACATATCTCTTAGAAATCAGCCATTTGTGGACTAATTCTCATGAGATTACTGCTGGAGACTGATTAGATGAGGTAAAGTGAGGAACATAACAACCAAGTAAGTTCTCTGAGGACAGTTAATTGTTTACTTTGCATACTGTGGTCTTTTACCTGTAGTTTCATTTCCCACTGTTTCAGTTACCTGTGGTCAAAAGCATTAAAAGGAAAATTCCAGATGATAATTTGTAAGTTTTAAAGTGCACTCCCATTCTGAGTAGCATAATGAAATCTCTTAAGCTACCCTCACCCCCATTCAGTCCCAGCTGGATGCCCAAATCATTCCTTTGTCCAGCGTATCAACTAGTACATGTTACCTGCTCATTAGTCACTTAGCTGTCAGAGAGAGAGACCACTTTCACATAACACCGTTACAACTTCTATTGTTAACCTCTTACTGTGTCTAATATGTAAACTCATAGGTATGCATTTACAGGAGAAAAAGACAGTATGTATAGGATTACTATCTATAGTTTAAGCCATCTGCTGGGGGTCTTGGAATATATCCTCCACATATAAGAGGGGACTGTGGTACTATATACCTAGTGCCAGAAACATTAGGTTTTCTGCAAATATTTGTAAACAAATGCTTGAAATAGAGCGGGACAGCCACTATTTAGCACAGTCCTATTTGGATGGAAATGTGGGTCTAGGATTCCTAAATCTCCAAATTTCCAAGTGGAGCTAGAAATGTAGAATTTAAAAATATAAAATCTGATTGTAAATATTAACAATGCATTCAAATGTCCAATGAAAGAAAACATGTCTATTGGTAAGATTCTGAACAAGGGTAACCAATTTGTCACTTCTATTCCAATATAAATAGCATAGGTGAGTATAAGATTATTAATATTTACCTGAGAGGATTGTTGAGAAAAGTTGTGTATACCTTCCAGCTAAACATTGTTTTTATTGTTTAAGAAACCCTTTCCCTGATTGGAAACTCATCTGTCTTTCCAATAGTAAACATATAGACATTGTTTCTGAGGTTGTAATGGAATTTCATTGTACTCCTAGGCCTTTGTTCTTCAGGATTTACAGTGCAGACTTCTCTCTTAAACTCATCCTGGGAGTTAATATCTGTAGAATATTGGTGTGGGAGCAGTTAAGTTGCCACATTAAAAAGGTTGAAAAATAACTTCTAAGTAATATGTAGCATCATATTTCAGAACTGGAAATGCTCTTTATATCAATTAGACCAGTCTCCCTTTTTCAGGAAGATGTGGTCAACCATGACAATGTCCTGGGGCAGTTTGTAAGAGATAATAACTCACATTTACAGGCTGTTTGATTCTCCACATTTTCCCATTAGAGATGGCTTAAAGAACAAATTAAAATACAAACATACAAAAGGAAAAACAAGGTTATGACAGAAATTAAGAGTAAGGTGATGAAGGCTTTTTTTTTTTTTTTAAGATCTTTATCTATCTTCAGAGGGGAAGGGAAGGAGAGAGGGAGATAAATATCAAGGTATGGTTGCCTCTCATGTGTCCCCTGCTGGGAACTGGCCTGCAACCCAGGCATGTGCCATGACTGGGAATGGAACCGCGATACTCTGGTTTGCAGGCCTGTGCTCAATCCACTGAGCTATACCAGCCAGGGCTGTGATGAAGGCTTTTTTATCTGGGAATCAGGTCAGAGTTGGGCTGCTGCTTTTTGGTTTAGTAACATCAGACAAGCTGTGTAACCTTTTACTTCCCTCATGTAAAAAAATTTTTTGAGGATTAAATAAGGCAATGAATTTAAGACACTTAAGACCAGAAATAGTAAATACCCAATAAATTGGCATGTTAAAAGTATACATGCCAATATAGTAAAAAGTATATATACCAACATACATGGATTAATAGTTTTTGTGATAAAAATAGCAGATTCAGTTTTGAAATTCTTTTTTTTTAAATTTATTTTCCTTTTAATTTAATTTCCTTCTCCTTTAGAGGAGAAGGAAAGGAGAGAAATTCAATGTATGGTTGGTTCTCGTGAGTCCCCTGTTGGGAACTGGCCTGCAACCCAGGCATGTGCCCTGACTGGGAATCGAACTGCGATTGTGTGGCAGGCCCACGCTCAATCCACTGAGCTATACCAGCCAGGGTTCAGTTTTGAAATTCTTGACAGTCAAGGAAGGGTGGGAAAATACAGTTACATAGAAAATGCATAGAAATTCCTCCCACGGGGTTCAGAGGATATTGAGTATTTGAATTGTATGTGACCTTGACTTCAATACTGAATTTGTGAACTTGGACAAATTATGTAACCCTCTCTAGCACATGTAAATGGGTTGACTTTGTTTAATTGTAGCTGCTTTTGATTTTAAAGAAAGTGCTGAGTACATTTAGAAATTGCCTTTGTCCTTCAGTAGTATCCTACTGACTTTATAACTAGTTCATTCGTGTTCATTGCAGTATAATAGTCCATTGTATGATTATACCACAGTTTATCA